GAACCACTTTTGTTTGCATAGTTACGGATCCAAGTTTGTAAAGGATAAAGTGAAATATCCACACAATTGTTATTGATACGATTAAACCAATTTTGGACAAATTTCGTTGATTTGACGTTTCTTTGACAGGCCTGAGATATTAGGTTTAGACTGTTCAGGTAGGTACAATGAAGGCCCATAAGGCTACATGCGAATGCTCGTCAATGCTCGCGCATTCCGTGAAAGATTTTGGCTCGTATCTAGTTTGTACGTTACACATTTGGCCATAAAGTTCATTATGATATGTACAATATCGTTACAGAAATTCGCTTCCATTCCGTTCCGCCGCAATATATATTGAGCCTAAGATCCGTTGTGGACCAAATTCCATTGAATTCGGTGATTGAAATTCATGTACGTTCCGCTTTTGTAGATAATGCACCTTATTCTTTCGACATCAATGCCATAGTTATCATTAAATGAAATATGTTAGAAAATAAACAACAATCCTTGACCCGTCACGTGTGTTACTGATACACGGTATCCCGAACGATTTCGGTGCTGTAGCGTCCTACAGCCACATATTGTCTCTAATGCACAGCTCTGTGTTTCCATTAACTGTTAAAAAAAATTAAAACATTAACATAAAAACCAAAATGGTAATATTCAGTATATTGAATATCACAATGTTTTCTTACCACGATATTCAATTATTTTTTGGGAAATTACACTAGTTTGTTATAATTATTGATACGAAAGATCACTCACTAGCTTGGTAACGCTTTCTTTCTTATTAGAAATCTGCGTGCAAAAGCGTTTTTGCCGCCCTGACGTGGAAAAGGTTTTTGAAATTCAAGAAGTGCACCTAACTTTTTCTTTCGATGAAAAAAACACAATGACACTTACAACTACGTGATTTGTCGTACATTGTTTATTTAATATAAATCCGTTGATATATTTTATTCTTGTTAATGTTGACATTAAATTGACAACGACAATTAATTTTGTTTATTAAAAGTGATTTGTTATAGTTCAATTGTTTTTCTTTCATCTACCATTTTCCTCGGTACAGTGAGGTGAAAAGTTATGTGTTTCACTCGGCAGCAAAATTGTTTTGCGTCTCGTGGTTTGAATCCTGAGTACGCTCAGGGTTTCAAGCAAAGGGATTCAAGGCACGAGATGCACGCTACACGCTATTCGCTTCGCTCGTGGTTCAATCTTGCGATCCTTCACTTGCTCAAGTTTCAATACAAGCACTCGCATTAAACGACAACTTTGCAGCCTTGCACAACAAATAACTATTTTTTATTAATACAAATATATTCGATTATTAAAACAATGATTATTAATAAATTTTTCGAATCGTTACGGAACCTTATGTCTCTAACGATTTTGGTAATAAATTCATTACTTTTACATTCGATCAAAAACCAACTTATACCACCTGCTCTGCATCTTCAAATGATAACCTCTAAGTCAGAGTTATTTAGAAGCAAATGAAGCTACTGGATAAGATTTCGAACGTTTTATATGTCCACCGCTCGTGCTCAGGGATTATGAAGCCGTTCTTAACAAAACAAAACTTGCAGTGAGAATATCAAATGATAATATATTAGCGCTTGTTGATCTGCTTATCAACGTAAATTATGTTCAGATTATGGCAATAAAAAGTTATTAAATAAATATATTTGTTTACGCGTGCAAAGATGTCTGGGTGGCTGTACGCAGCTTTAGGCTAGGTCTATATTTAACGAAATTTACAATGAAGTGTATGGTATTTTATACAAATTTGTGTTCATTGTATTACATAATTATAACTTCCTTAAAGTTGTATCAAAATATTTTTGTATTTCGTTTTCTTTAACAACTATCCGTTTTCGTAACTACAGTTTTGAATAGGAATTAAATATTCATTTTTAATATTGGTTACCAAACAGTGAACGAAAAATCTTCTTTCGTAATTAGTTATACGTAGTACGGTGTACTCTGCCTGTCAGAGGTTACAACTTTTCATAATTACTTGTAAAGGTTTCATCAAACCTGATTACTTCTTAAAATTAAAAATTAGACCTAAACTTAGATAGATAGTTAACACGTTTATTCAGCACAAATACATACTGAAACAAAACATTATTTTACAATCACTTCACAAAGTATAACATAAAGTCACATAGAATATACATTATTAATTTAATACACATTTTTGTAAAACAGATACTGTGATAAAAACAGATACTGTGAGAGAAAATTTAACAAAATGTAGAAATATAATCGAAATTCGTTGTGATATATTTTTGTTTTTTTTTTATGATGCCAGGTAATGAGACGAACAAGTCGTGCTGACAGTGGTAAGTGACACGCCTGTACATAGTAGTTGTAGTGCCACCCCTAGCTTTAAATTTCAAATATCTGAGGAACACTGCCATTGCACTCGCCGTTCAAAACTGGAACTCAGTAATGGTCACATTACTGTTAGGACGCAGAAATAGGTAAGGTGTCAATACTTCCCTGGATCAACTCTTTCACAATGACCTCTACTGCTAAATGGCTTAGGTTGTATAAAACTACATCAATAAAATGTATAGTTATGACTGAGTGACGCAATTCGTAAACACTAGTTCAACAACATTACATACACAAAATACAGAACCCAAAATACTGTCTGACGTTACGTATTACGTAATAACATTATTTATATAATTTAGAGTATTCAGGGTATCTATTCAAAATAGGGAGTAAGTATCATAAACGAGTACATCTCAAGCAACTTGCATAGGTTATGTGCTTGTTAAATATACACAGGGACTGTAGAGACTGTTATGCGATCTCTACATCTAGAGATCGGTTAACAGACTGTATATCTTCTTGCGCTTACGACAGCTGGCTGTAACTGCATGTCTATTCTATTGTCTCTATATCTGTCTATATTTATTTCACTAAAGGTTTTCTTTATTTATTCATTTTGGATACTTTCACTGGCCGATCATACGGATGACCATTTATGGTGTAGCATAGAAACAAAAGTTAACATTGTAAAGAGTTCCTAACTTAGAGTTTTTCTTAATATCACCACGTATTGAAACACTTTAGATCGTTTGGCTTTTGTTTCTGTCTGTTGTAATTTATTGTAGTTTTTATGCTTTATAATCACCTTGTATCAACCGAAAACCGCCGAAGAAATGTGCCAATCTTAGCAAATACTACGATTTTGTGGCTTTCAAGTAGAAGCTCTGGGTCTGTTAGAGCCACAGGTGAAGCACCTCGCTAAAAAGCTTTCATTTTCAATTCTTGTAGAAATTTCGATGACCGAAGGCTGACAGCCACTTCCATAAGAAAGAATAAGTGTCGTGATCTAAAGGGAAAATGTCAAAGTCAAAGTCAAAGTCAAAATATTTATTGCTTTCATGTGTTACATAATGTTCTTAAAATTAAAATAGTTTCAACACGACCCTGTTAGGGCGCCGCAATGAAAAAATATACATTAAATAAAATGCGTACGATGGTCCAGAGTGCGGTTCGTCGTACGACTAAAAGAGATAAAGATATGAGTGATTACTTATATTAAGCATGTTTACTATATTATTTCCATTGTTTAAGGCCATTCAAACACTCATATCTACTTTTACAAAACTTAAGTACATCTTAAACCAATGCCTGCAATCCGAACAACCACTATTGACCAGCAAAAATCGAAATTGTGTTTTCTTTATTACGCTTTCCTCAAGGAAACGCCGTTATTTTTCTTGAGACCCGAATTTTTTGGCTTTGACTATAGCATAAATATTTAAAACACTCACAACTGTATAGGTTGTAGCACAAAAACAAAAATCAAAGTGAAAAGTGGAGTAGAGTTTTTCTTAATATTATTGCCGTATTAATACAACTTTATATTCAGTGCTGTACGTCAAAAACAAGACGTTAGCTAACATATTAACATGCAAGTATGTGAAATTGTATACAGAGTGATCATTAATTTAGTGGGTAAGTTGAGGCTGCTAACGAACAGGTAGCACGTTTTCGGTGGCGGCGGCAAAGAGAGCAAAACGCACTAAGCCGAGTCTGATAAATGAGGCCCATTGTCGGCTACCGGTCTTAACTGAACCAACGACTCTCATGAACGCAGGCCAAGGGTTCTGTCTTTTCTGCTTTCTGAGCATTTTTAATGTGTCGTAATAGTATAAAATTATACAAGATTTCATTAAACGTTTAATATGGCGTTCGTATAAGTAAAACAAACAACATGTGTCCTGTGCCCTTTGAAAATTCACACATGGTAGTTTTATCCACACGCAAAATAGGCGTTTTGTCGTCGAATTGTGGCTGCCAGCCCGTTGCAATAAGTACCAAGTATGGTATGAATTTCTGGTAACATAAAAAATGGCTTTTATTTAGTTTAAAATGTCATTGGAATTCAAAAGATGAATTGATTACAATAATAATTTCACAGCAAGCCAAGCCGCTAGACACTAAAAGTCGTCCGCTAGTCGTTTTCATTGACGAGTTTTTGTTCAGAATGATCAAATTTTAGAATATGTGATTATCTAATTTTCTCATCCTTGCCAGTACCTGCCAAAGGCGGCCGATGAAAAGATGTTTTCACGCAAATTAAGTAAAAATTTGCCAACATAGACTAATGTTCTTATGAATTGTTCGTCCCGTCACTTTGTATCGTAAGTTAAAAAATCACACTGGTAGACTGGGTTGATATCGCAAAGATGTGACGGTATTAACCAGAAGATTTACTGAGTAATCATTGTCTGTTATTTTTCAGCTTTCTGAAAGTCAAAGTACATATTTAATTTCCCCAAAAAACAAGCAACAAGTTCAACTCAACAAAAAATTCGTATATCCATGGTCAACTAGAAAGCCACTGAACCCTAAACGAATGAAAATAAAAGGCTACCGGACCCTTTGTCCGGTGGTGTATTAAATGTTAAAAAGTTAGACGTAGCGGAGTTTATTGACACCCGATATAAAAGCATATTTTTTACTACATCATTAGTTATGGCCGACCTTATGAAGCCGGGAAAGTGGTGACTGGTGCTCTGTGATGCAGATTATGGCTACGCTACTCAATGATCTTGCTTCTGGTATGAGATTAGTTATATTTTATTTTTAATATTGTCAAAAATATGAGGTATCGATATAACCACTGTAGCAATTATTTAAGTTACAATCCTATGATTTTTGCTATGATAGTTGATACTCCTTCATTTTTTTTTATAATATTAAGCGACGGGACGTACAAGTCGTGCGCCTGATGGTGAGCTACACGCCTGTCCACGACAATTATATTGCCACTCAGAGCTTTAAATTTCAAAGATCTGAGTGGCACTGCCACTGCGCCCGTCACCCTGAGAGTTAGGTTAACAAGTCTCATGTGCCTGTAATTTCACCAGCACCCTTACCCTTCAAAAGCGGAACACAGTAATGCTGACATTACTGCTTGGCGGCAGATATAATAGAAGGAGCTCTTCTGCTGCTGTCCAGTGAAGTACTGTCACTTTACTTATTTCTGCCGCTAAACAGTAATGTAAGCATCACGGCGTTCTGGTTTTGTATATAAATAAGGGTGCTTATGAAATTACACGTCTCAGGGTGATGGGCACAATGGCAGTGCGTCTAAGATTTCTGCGATTTAAAACTCTGAGTGGCACTGCAACTGTTATGGATAGGCGTGTCGCTTACCACCAGGTGCAAGCCTTGTTCGTCTCTTCACTTGGAATTATAAAAAAGGCACATGAGACTTGTTCACTTATGTCTCAAGGTAACAGGCGCATCAAAAATGAACTGCCTAGAATCCAATTCCGTTATTATATAATATGTGTATTTCCAGCTAATTAAATGTTTGTGATGAAATAAAAAAGAATCAAAAAAATCATTCTTCTCAATCATGTGAATTTGTCAAAAGAATGAATAGTAATTACTTTTAACCGAAGTAACGTTTTCAAATCTAATTTGCTTATAAATGCAATAAAGATATTTGATTTCATTACATGAGTATACCAATAAGATCTTTCTGACACTTATTCAAACATGGAAATTCATATTCAAGTGCCAATAATGTTCTCACATTAGTGTCAATGTAAACAAATCCTGCGAACACCATAGACAAACTGTCATTAGCTTATTGTTGTGATAGGACAGGAGTTGTCAGGAAGCTGTCATTGTGACAATCATTTGCGTGTCATCGGAGACCAATACTATATCTATGTCATCAGTGTGTCAGATCTGTTTCCGCTTATTAGTCCACTAATTGCCTGTTGCGTTTATTTTGCTTCATTTTATGATAAGTTTAGAGCAAAAAACTTTATAAACACTTGTGTAAAAAAGGGTATAATAATGCACTGGTGGTCAAAGCTGTAGCCAAAACATTAAACTGATTTTTTAAATTTCCATTCCATATATTTTGAGTTGCAGCGACGGACTTTTGTTTAAGTCTAAAGCTATCTTAAGTTATCAATTTTTTTATCCCAAAGCAAGCAAAATTGAGTCGAGGATGCAAAGTTTTACTTATACATGACTTCTTGGAATTCTGTAAGTATTTAATATAAAAACAATTTCACCTTTTCTGAATAAAAAAGATTTTAAATATAGCATAATAATAAATAACAATAAAATAAATAACGTAGGTACACACTCATAGGAAGACCCTGTATCGCGGGTGCCATGTACACACACATAGACAACTTACACCATAACTCACGAGAGAAACGAATGTAGGCCTTACAAATATTTCTCCCGGCCCGGGAATCGAACAACTCTGCGTGGCAGTCCAGCATGGTAACCGTTCAGCCACAGAGTTTGTGCTTAACAGCAGTTAAGCACAAACTTTTTTCTACATAAAAAAAAACTATTGTACTTTAGGTATTTTATATTAGACTGGTTATAATAACAGAGAGATTCTAATAACCAATATTACAATATGCCCATTACACAGAAGTGCCTATAATCCCCACGTTCTCAGTGCATTTACGATCATGTCAATGCGCATCAACACTCACTACAATAAAAGTTAATATTAGTGATTTGCTCGCAATAATTGAATTCCGTCTTCAGCCCGGCTAATCTGACGTTAGATATTCGACAACTCCCGAGCACCCTGCTTCCCCCAAAGTAATCGGTTTACTGACAATAAATTGACTTTTTCGATTTCGACATTATACTGTTACTACTCTTTTGTGGGGCTGTACACAGTCACACCGATTTTCATCAACCTATTCCTATTGGCGATACATGTCCCAAAATGGTGTCTTAGCTTTTTCATCTGATTTACTATCTGATATACGCTGGACATGCATTCGTTGCTACAACACATTATTTTGACACAGCCAGACAAAGCTACAATTCCTCACGTCAATTAACGACAGCTTGTGTTTCTCGGTTACATTGAGCCTGAGAATGACTAATCACTTCTTGATCTTGAAGGTAATGAAATAAAACAACCCCTATATATTTTTTTAATTTAACCCATAAGTTGCGTATCAAAACTATGTCGAGTTTTCTTCTTCTTTTTTTCTTCTTCGCAAAGGTCGTCTATTCTTCTTACTCATGACTAAAAGTCGCCCAGCGAGCTGTAGAACGAGCTATGCTCGAAGTTTCTCTAAAGGACTAAAATATATGAAATGAGGTTATCCGACAAAGAACTTAGGTCGTCGACATAGCTTGTAGAATATAGCAAGCTGAAGTGGAAGCGGGCTGGCCACATCTGTTGAAGAACCGATAACCGATGAGGAAAGCGAGTTCTTGAGTGAAGATCACGGTTCGGCAAACGTTGTGTAAGACGCCCTCTTATCAAATGAAGTGACGATCTGCGAAAGGCTGCTGGCAGCAGATGAATACGACAACCTGAGTACCGGGCGAAATGGCGCGCACTGGATCTTTGTCCAGCAGTAGACTCCAATAGGTGGATGATGTAAGTTGCGTATCATCCTATATAATCAAAGCAAAATGTTCGCGCACCTATTTTGTTCGGTGTGAATTCATCCGTGGGCGTGACAATGAAGTAGAAACGTATCGGTTTTTGTGCACGGGCCGACATTGAGCCTATTCGTCCGAATTCGGACTCTATTATTACAAGTACAACACGCTATATACGTGACACTTTACGTTTTACGTGACAGTTTACAATTTCACATTCTTGGACTAATATGGCTTTTAGTTTTTACTAATAAATTGTTCAAAGTTTTAGTAGCTGGTAGAGTTACGTATTTAAGTCTCCTGAAAAAATCACTGGCAAATTAATTTAAAAATGCATTTAATTACCAAAATTGTGTTCCCTTTCTTTAAAATGTGTATAATAGAATAAATCGAAGGTATTTTTTTTTGTGTAGGTACATTATAACTCTCGTGAATAGTAACATGTTTACAAACGATCTGTAAAATCCGAAAGTATTATCCCAAAATCCTATAATAAGTATGATCGCAGTACAATCACGTCGAAAACATCAAAGTAGTCATAAATGGCAATAACAGTTCAACACAATAACGGTGTCACTTTAAATTTTTGCAAAATCGCTCGGTTTCCTCCGTTTTTACAATAAATACTCGTATTTGGTGTTTTCAAAGCATCGAACCGGAAATATGCCGAGTAATAAAGTGAAAAAGATCAAAGAGTCAGTTTTTGTCCAACTGCCCACCTTCCCGATGCATCAATGGGCTGGAGAGTCCATTCAAAGATTTCACTAGTTTAAACGTCGCATAAAATGATTGTTGTTGATCTTTTGTTATTATTACGTGTTACGATACGGATACTCCAAGGTTTGGGTGGATTTTAGATTCAATTTCCCTTTCTGATTAAAAATTTAGGCTTTTTCATAATTTTTTCGAAAAAAGAAGTTGTTTTATTCAACTGGCACTTATTTGTGAAAATACAGGCTGTATAGAACGATGACATGTAACAAAATCAATATTTTGTTTTAAGATATGAAGTGACGAGACGAACAAGTCGTGCGCCTGGTGGTAAGCGACATGCCTGTCCACAGCAGTTGCAGTGCCACTTAGAGCTATAAATTACCAAGATCTAAGGGCACTACCACTGCGCCCATTACCCTGAGCTATAAGTTGACAAGTCCCACGTGTTTGTAATTTCACCAGAATCCTTACTCTTCTTAACCGGAACGCACTAAAACTCACATTACTGCTTGGCGGCATATTATATATTTGTTAGTCTTGAATGTATATTATACATTTACTCAAATGACGGTTGATAGGGGAGAGTGGAAAAAAAATACATGTTTTGCCGACACCACTTAGCGTGAGATAAGGACAGGAAGAAGATAATACGTTTACTCATATGCAATTCAATAGGCTAAACCAGGTGTAACATGTTTTTCACTGCGTCCGTCACCCTAAGACATAACTCCCATGTGCCTGTAATTTCACCAGCACCCTTACTTTTCAAAATCGGACCGCAATAATGCTCACATTACTGCTTGGCAGCAGAAATAGATAACGTAGCAAGTAGTACTTCCCTCCACAAACTCCTTTACAAGGAGCTCTACTGCGTGGGGCACACTATAAGTTTCCGGAATGAATAACAAAAAAATACTATAAATAGTCAGAAATGAATTTATTGATTTTCAAAATATTCTCCGTTAGCGCTAATGCACTTTTTCATACGAATGAACAAATTTTGAAAGCAATTATGCCACTCCTCCGTGACAATATCTAAAACATAATATGTTTCATTCTCTTCGACAGACTCTTCATGTGATGAATATCATTGACCGCGAAACTGGTTCATAATTTTTGGAAATAAATAAAAGTCACAAGGGATGGCTCATAAGGCCAATGTTGTTCACCTTCAAAAATTCATTTGTCTGTCTGGCCGTGTGAGAACTGGTATTATCGTGGTGCAAGGTGTTACGGCGTTTACGGTTATTTTTACGGAGTTTGTCAATAACTGGCAGTAAATAAATGATCGTGTACCAATCACTATTCACGGTACAACGATTCTCCAAAGCAACAGTAGCCACGTGTCCAGTTTTATTAAAACAAGTACCAATCATCCGCTTAGAAGCACTTTGCACGCGCGCCACTTTGGTTGGTTTCGGCTAATCTCGAAAGACCCATACGCTCGATTGCTGCT